GAATTCTCCTCAGTTTAAAGCCAATTACGCTGAGCTGGTTTTAGGAAATCCGAGTCCAGTGCTCATCTACCAGATTTCTTCCAATGAAACTCGAGTTCTTGTTGACATTCGAGGTGAAATGCCAAAAAACCTTAAGGAATACATGGTCGAAAAGATTTATCCACAGCTACCAGGTAAGAACCTTTGCACGGAGACTTAATATCTTTACAGGTAGTCCTTGACTTATGACTGGAGTTCGTAGACCTTTGTTGCCACTCAGCACAATTGATGAGTGAGCTGCATCTGATATTACAACCTTTTTTTGCTCTGGTTGTTAAGAAAATCACCATGGTCATTAAGTGAATTACGTGGTGGTTAAGTGGACCCAGTTTTCTCCATTGATTTGCATGTTGGAAACCCCTTGGGAAGGTTGTAAATGGTGATGACGTGACCATAGGGGCTAAAGAGCTGTTGCCCCCGTCTCGAATGGTATGACTGTTGTGTGTTTTTTAAATTATGTATTGTTATGTTTCGTCTTTTATTTTTTGTCTGTACCCCCCTTCCCTGATTTGAATTGTGAGCCGCCCTGAGTCCCCTTCGGGGGAAAAGGGCAGCATATAAATATAATAAAATAAAATCAATCAATCAATGTGAGAACACAAATCAATTACGGTATGTTATGCGTTCTCCACTCCCCTAATCAATGCCTTTTACCAACAGCACCTTCCTTTAATTCTGTGACATTCAGATACAAGATAATTATCTTCAAGGATGGGGATTCTATGGATGAAAGGAATTTTCCGAACTTTTTGCCAGTTTCACCTCTTTAGCATGCTCTATAATAAACCATCTCCAATTTCTTGGTAATTGTCCACTGTCTTCCATCTACACACTCCCACACGCCTCCAACTGATAGGTTTATAATATCAGAAAGCTAGAATGGGAGCTGTGTCATTTGCCAATTCACACGCAATCAATGCGACCACTCAAATGGGAATAATCCACTAGAACATTATCATCTGGGGAAGAATTATATTTTTTTTCAGATATAGAATATAGTAGCTCAATTTAAATGCTAGGAGAATGAATATGCTGTGAGTATAATGGAGACAAAGCCCCATGGACAGCTCTGAATGCAATGGTGAATGACTGTGGATCAGAAAGAAACTAAAGCATCATAAAAGTTCTACATTGATGGGGCCTCTCTAATCCACTGTTGTCCAGTTGTGGCAACTTCCAACTGTGTGGACTTCATTCCCAAAATACTCATCCATAGGCCTGCTGATCAGTAGTGTAGCTACAGGCTATCCATTTCTTATGGGTATTTTATGTTCATGCAAAGAGAAATATAAATAAATTTGAGCTAAGTCACCAAGGAACCAACAGTGGGATCACATACTGAACCTGTTTTTTTGTCTTGAAACTTTGGCAATCTGGGTTATAATTTGGAGATATTTCTATTTGGGCCTTGTCATGGGTAAATCAATAAAGAGTGATTTAAATCAATAAACACGTAAAGTTTTCTGTACCTGCTCCTTGCTCCCTGTTATGGGGAGGAAGGGTCCATTTGTTTGGTTTGCCCCTGATGCCTGATATAGTCTAATTAGTTTTCAAAGGGTGCTTAGCAGTGGTGGGTTTCAAAAATTGTTCGAACCTACTCTGTAGGTGTGGCCTCCTTTGTGGGAGTGGCTTGCCACCCATATGACTGGATGGGAGTGGATTGCCGCCCATGTGACCGGATATCAAGATGCCAACGACACTTGTCAGAACCAACTTAAATTACCTCACACACAACACTGGCATGCATAAGAATATGNGCAACCAACCGGATCGCGGGGACCGCCGCGAACCGGTTGAAACCCACCCCTGGGTCTCATTGAGTTGAGTGAGGTTCACTATTGCATGATTATCTGGAAGGAGTTTGAGTCTATTGGCCCACAAAAGTAGACAGAGTCCTTGTGTTGTTTAGTGGAGCCACCAGCAGGTTACACCCATTTCTTCCCAGCTGTTCAAGGTTTTTGGAAAGTGACATGTCAATGGTGACCTCCTTTTTGAGAAAGAGAGTACTGCCAACTATACTTAAGGAAGTGGGAGTCTGCCCATCCTCAAGAAACATTTGATAGGCTCAATGGAACTGTATGTGTTTCGAACCACCTTCATTTTTCTATTTTGAAGTGAAGCTGGTTGAGCTGCAGCTTCAGAGAATTCTGGCGGAAGCAGATTATGTGTATCCCTCCTAATCAGTTTAAGGCCTAGGTTAAGGCGTGACAAATTTTTCAACTTTCCATTTCCAAACATTAGGATTGCTCAAAAGTTGTGACATGCCTTGGGGATTGTAAACCGTGGTAAGAAACTACAGAAATATAACTTTTTAATTTTGTTTGTTTCATCATGCTTCTAGGGGTCTCCAACCTTGGCAACTTTAAGACTTGTGGACTTCAACTCCCAGAATGCCTCAGCCAGCAAAGCTTGAATTCTGGGAATTGAAGTCCAAAAGTCTTAAAGTTGCCAAGGTTGGAGAGTCCTATTCTACATGACCTATGGTGGGATTGGGATTGAAGCAGCCTTTCCTTGTGTTATTGGTGGCCTTCAAGACCACCAAAGTTCTGACCAAGTGCTTACACTATCAAACTCTTCACCCCTGCTTTGTGAAGTGCTTCAAGGCTCAATTTTCTCCTCCCTTTTGTTAAGCATCTAGAATCTAGATGAAGTTAATGGGTAAACGCATTAGCTGGCATGTTGATGGCAGTCAGTTAATACATTTTAATGCCTGGCTAGTCTATCAATATATGGAGGTTGTGGGGGATCTGTATAGGGGGATAGTAGGCTCACATTCAATCCTAGCCAGACCAAATGACTGGACTTGGGTATCTAAATTCAGAGAGTTTTCGTCTTAGTTGTGGATAGTGTTGCACTGCTTTAGACAAATACCATGCTCAATTTGGGATTCCTCCTGACTCACAGCTCCTGTTGGAAGAGCAGGTTCCAGCTGAGGTACGAATTCATTTTGTGCACCAGATGCACCAATTCCTAACCAGGAAAATTACTCATAGTCATTTGTGACCTGGCCACTTCTTGGGATTACGGCAATGCATTCTGCATGGGACCATTCTTGAGGATTACTTGGAAGCTATAGGTAGTCTATTTACATGCATAGTTATAGATGCATCTGGGTTCACCAATGTAATACTTCTGCTTTGTGAGCTACATTGGTTATCAATAGGCTTCTGGGTGCATTGAAGCTGCTAGTTATCACTTATAAGCCCTTCATGGCACATGGTCTGTTTATTTGCAGGGTCATCTCATTCTGAGTACTTCTCTCCTCCCGGTAAGCATGCTCATGGTAAGTTGCTCATTTTGGAGCAACTTCATCCCCCCCCCCCAAAAAAAAGGAGCACATTTTTTTGTGCCATTGCAGTTTATCCGAGGATTGGGATGGACAACAATTTCAGCTATGCCATTTGGGGGGTCTCTTAAAAGTGGCAACTTATTTGCTTTTCATTGTCTGTGTTGGTAATACAACAGTGCAATTCTGCAAACCAGTACTGGAAAGATATGTAGGATTTATATAAGAAATCCCTGAGAAACTATCACAGTGTAGAAGCAAATTTGCAAGTTGTGTGGAAGTACACTTCTATTATATCAAACATTTTGTGACCCGTCAAAACCGCGGAGGACAAAATCGCATTCGACGAAAGCGCGCATGTGACGTCATCACAGCGCGACGAAAAAAATTAAAAATTGAAATAAAATTAAAATTAAAGCAAGCCGATTCACATAAAGGTAAGGGTTAGGTTTAGGGTTAGGGTTAGGGTTAGGGTTAGGGTTAGGTTAAGGGTTAGGGTTAGGATTAGGATTAGGGTTAGGATTAGG